TACAGCAAATGTTAAAAAAACAAAAACAGGTGATTTGTCACTATGCTTCTAGCAATCTTACAAGGAAAGACAGATTAGTCGAAGTGGCCTTTCTTTATGAGATGGAAACTGCCTAGAAGAGTATAAAACGCTGATTCCAAATCTACATTCATTATCTGCAGCGAGTTCCTGGGCGAAGAGTTGTGCAAGTTTTATGAGCAAATTTGCATGTGCAGCTAGGATGAATTCAATTGTAACATTTTTTCCATGACACGAATGATTTTTGGATTACTGCAATAAATTTTTGAATCAAACATATCCATTTAGCATCGCGACTTCGGAAGCTAAGAAAAGTCAACGACTGATTTTACACTGACCATGCATTTGCACCATGCCAAAAATGCCCATTTTTATGGGCAATTTTTTGCCCATAAAAAACTTTCAAAACTCCTTGTTCAGAAACCCAGCAGATAAGAAAAGTATATTCGAAATCATCATTTCGTACTCTTCAAGCCAGTATACATATCATACACAAAAGCCACTTCGACCAGACTTCCTTCCCTCGTTGGAACGTTCTGTGACAAAAAACTTTTTGATGAAATGTTTCAATGCGTTGCGTTAGCTAAGCTCTCCGAAAACTATCTAGGATGCTTTCCAAATTTCAAGCAAATAAAAATTCTAACGGCTAAGAACAATCGTAAGGTCAGGCAGAGGTCCTTTTGAAAACGGCCAACTTTTTAGCGCATCCTGAAAACCGACCTGAAAACCTTCCTCTGTTCTACTTTAAAAACTCATACATTGATGTATTTTTCCAGAGAAACCTGCATGTTTGCGGAGATTTTGTTGATAGTGCGCGAGCATCTATGCGATTGTATATGACTATAACTTACGAAGAATTTGAGGATGACTCCAAAAATTGTATGTACTCGCACATTGTGCCTCATCCTACTAACTGTATATCCAGAACACCTGCTTAACTTAATTCATGTCATTCGATAACAGAAGCTTCTCATTCTGCACTTAGGCACGCTACTGCTCGTTTTTAGAAAAACGGCGCACAGTCGCCCAATCCATGTGACATTACCGTAGCATAGCCGTACTCGCTTCAGAGTGGACGAATTCTTAATCCAAGGGCACCGTTCGATTTAGCTCGGCGTGGGGCATCTTCTAACTTATAGAAGTGCCCGCCTGGACCAGGAGGAGCCCAGATCCACGAATTGTTTCAGATTTTTGCTTACGGTAGGTTGCTCAGTGAGTGCGATGAATAAACATACTAAGCAGCCTATTGTAAGCAGAAACCTGAAACGATTTGTAGAATCTGGCCTCTAACTGTGTCTAACATGTTGATGGATTGCCACTTGAAGAAGAGTTGGAGGCTAAGATAGCCACAGTGTTGGGTAGGCTGGAGAACCTAACAGCCGAGTTAAACCGCATACTCGGTCCCAGAGCAACGGCAGTTGCAGTGAGGGAAGGCAGTGTGTTGAGAGGGTCGGATGACGGACCACTCGACAATCATCGAGGTGTGGAAAATCAGTTGCTCAGCTATTTTCAAAGCATGACTTTTCCTGATCCTGGAGTCTTCAAGGGCTGTGATGATGAGGACTTTGACAGATTCATTCGGAAGTTCAAAAGAAAGTATGGTACCATGGTCCAGGATGAACAGTTGCTGATAGAGGTCCTGGGTGATGAACACTTAGAAGGAAGGGCAAAGTCCTTATTTCTGAGCATACCCATGGGGGTAAGACAGCAAGGCTTTGATAGAGTAGTGAGGGAGATGGCTTCACTACTGGCCTGTGACTCCACAGCAGCTAGGTTAAAGGCACTGACAGCCTTAAGAAACATGCGCTTAAAGCCAGGCCAAGAGGTCGCGGACTTCTGTGTCGCCCTCGAGAACCTAGCAAGGAAGGCCAATCTTCAATGTACTATTGAGGGAAGATCAATGGAGTACGCACAGATTCTGCTGGAGAATCTGACGTCATGGCCGGAATACGTGCAGCTGTTGGGAACCCTACACCAAGTGGACCCAGCTGAGGCATATAACAGGATAAAAGAAGTTGCGATTGAAATCGAACAATCGCGGAGGTTTTGCAAATTCGAGAGGAGGATCGAACAGCAATCTCCGTTCTGGGGGAAAGAAAGTGAAAAGGAAGGGTACCTAGCTATGACACAAAGTCGAAGCAGCTTAGCGGAGAGAGGCCAAAGGGAAGATGATATGAGAAGGCAGGAGCCAACGAGTAGCTCGAGTGCCTATGATGAGGATCAGGAAGACAAAAGATGCTTCAAATATGGTCATTTCGGACATGCGATTGATTGTTCGAGAGATTTTAAATACAGGAAAACGGAGAAGGAAGGTGCCATCAAGACTTCAAATGGAGTGACATCAATGATAAGTAGGAGCCGGAACATGGTCGTAAAGAGCTCCCAATCCGACGCATTTGGAATTGTTGGCAGGACAACATTGACTCAAGCGAGAATGTTGGGAAGAAAGGTCTCGACACTTTTAGACACGGGCTCAATGATAAGTATACTACCCGTGAAGGTGCTTATAGAAGCGAGGAACGATGGATACGATGTCGAGTCACTTCAGAGTTTCGACATTGCGGAAGGAAGCATAGACGATGCATCGAACCATGCGATGAGCTTTCTCGGAGGTGTAAAAGTAGAAGTTGAATTAGAAGGTGGATGCAAGAAGGAAGTGGCTTTTCATGTTTCGGATGATACTAATGAGGAAGTACTCATTGGCACAAATGCATTGAAGAGTCTAGGGGTGGAAGTAGTGATACACAAGAAGCCTGAAGTCAAAGTAAAAGCAAAGGATAGGATGGTGCTTCCACACAAGAGAAACGCCTCAGTAAGAGCGAAGATTCAACAAGGTACCATAACTGTGAACAAATCTACCTCAGACAAGGACAGATCTGTAACTATCAAGAAGAAAACTTTTATAGAGAGAAAAAGAGATGTCAAAACAGGCAAAGGAATTTGGTCAGAGGAAGCTTGTGAGCGCAAATGGAAGAAGTCGACATGTAGGATGGGCAGCAAGAATCAAAACCTTTCCAGAAGTGATCGAAAAATGTGCGGAGAGGCACAGAAAGGAATCAAAGTTCAGAAGACAAGCAGTAAGAAAGGACAAAGTTCTGAGAAGGAACGCCCTGTTGCGTTTATTGCACCGAGATGTGCAACATCATTTGAGGAAGTTGAGCTGAAACAATGTGGAGTACTGACCAAGGTGGCAGTATCATTCTGTCAACTCAAAGAAGCGTTGAAATGCTTGAAGAACTGTCGTATGTGGATCATAGTATGGCCCATGTACTCAAGAAGGGAGGATGAGGCTATCATTGAGACATTACGGATATGCAAGAAATACCTCGAAGAAGGAGGAAAGATTGTATCCGTATGGCCCCCACTATCCTTCAAGAAGATTGGCATGTGGGAAACGAAGTCAAAAGTGTGGACGGTGATTGAATCAGTACTGAAAAAATGGGCAAACCCAAATCGATTGTTCACGTTGGCTCCCTCAAGGACAGAAAAATGGGAACGTGAACAGAGAAGCAGATGAACCCCAAAATTCTTTTCAGGTATACGGCACGTACTTCAGGGAGGGATATGCGCATTACCACTACAACGACATTCGCAGGAGAGTTCCCGGTGCAAAGCTCAGCAAGTTGCAGCAGCCGCCGAGGACGTCGGCTCCCCGGAGGGGAGGGATGTCAGAGGGCGCGGATCACCGACCTACCGATCTTCAGTGGCGGGAAGAAAAGCCCGCGCTGACCTTTTCGTCAGGGTATAAGTACCGGTAGTCAGGGGGGAGTCGGAGTCCGCGCTGAGGAAGCGCTAGCGGGAGCTAACTCCATCGAAGAGAAGCGGATCTCCCCCTTAGATAGAGAGTTCATCCAGTCATCCTGCCGAAGAGGTCAAAGAGGGTAAAGCCCGTCGTTTCGTTGTTAAACCCTGTTCAAGTTACACGTTCTTGTTTTCTTGTTGTTTATTGCCGTTTTCTGAGATAAAATAAACTATTAGTCGTCGTCAGTCTGTTGTCTATCGATCCGGTTAAAACCGTTATACCACTAGACACCCCCGGTTACAGAAACAAAATTTTAGAATATGCATTTTCAACCAAAAATTCCCTTAATGCAGCACTTTTTCCAGCAAATACACTGCTTGCCTTGAAACATGTAAAAAATTTCTGCAAATCTTTTGGAGCTAGCTAGTCGTACACTGATGTCTTTGGCGAGAATCACGATCCACGTGCATTTTTGGACTCGTTTCTCCAAGTTTAGTTGAAGCAAGATTTTGAGACCATTTGAAAGCCGCAAAGCCATTTCTTTAAGTCAAGAATTTGGGAAATCATTGAGTTTTTGAATACGCAAGAATTTGCACCAATTTAGTAGTAATAATATCGTTGAGTAGTACCTTGCGCTTATTTTTATCTATCAACGATCAGACTGTATAACAATACACATTGACTGTTGCTTACTTAGATAAAAACGCACTGCTTTTGAAAATGCTCCGTTTATCACAAGATTACATCTCCTTGCTTTCTATTCAAGCTCGCTTGCGGTAAAAGCGGTGTATCTGATAAAGAGGCTAGATATGGTCAATAGGCTAAGGAAAATTCATTGATAATATAGCTAATAATTTGAGTTATTCAAGCTTGTATTACAATCTGCGCGAAGATCAAAGTAACAAACAACTATCACCGCTGATTCAAACAGTTTTCTTTTTTTTGTGAAGTTTGAAACGCAATAAAATTGCGGTGCGCTGAAACTGAACGCACCTCGAAAGCCATAGAAGGGTACGTGCGAATGAGACTCACTCGACTCTATAGCGAGATGAAACAGCTGAAACTTTGTGCCATTTTCACGCCTACTCGGTGCACTTGAACTGTTACAATATCTCAGGATATGAATGCGGCTGAAAAATGTACTGCTATTGTTTAGTGGGCTTTGAAATGAGCGAAAGTCATATTCGCCTCAGCTTGCTTCGCTATAAATAATGACGACGGATCAGGTCTCTGATCAATGATGAGAGGCTTATGCACTTTGCTAGCGGTAAGTCTTACAGCCTGCTTGCTAGATCCTCCAGCACTGATCGGGATATAAGTTTATGCATTTAATTCCGAAATGTAATCAGCTAACACTACAGGTGCTTGCTGCAGTGGAAGCAGAAGATGTCGTTGTAGATCCTGATGCGCAGCAATCGTCACAGCATTCGCAGGCTAAAGTAAGAGCGGAGGATGGTGTCCAGGTCGATAAAGTAGCTGCAAAATCGCCAAAACAGTTGACTGAAGAGGAAGAGGCTGAATTTGATCCTACTGGTGAATGGAAGAATCTTGAAAGAGGGGACGACGGCGAAGCTTTTGTGCTCTTGCCAAAAGGAGATAATGTCGGAGTAAAAAACGAGCACCCTGACAGTTACTATTATGAATACGAAAGTGAAGAGAAGGTGGATTGCGACAAGTTCAAGAATTTCAGTAAAGAAGTACGACAAGCAATGAGAAGTGATCATACTGTCAAGGCAAAAGTGGTGAGTTTTGAGAATTTGCTCATTATACCAAGGAATTAATGGAGATGAAGCAAGATTCAAATCGTACTTTCCACCTAAAAAGTCGGTGGAGCATTGCAATCTGATAAGTTTGTCAAACTCTTATCCAAAGCAATTGTAATTTTTGGTTATAGAAACCGCTAAGCTATACCGTTAATTTTGTCCATGCTTTAGCAGAATAAAAGATATAACTTTAGTTACTAATTGTTACATCAAGATGAGAGCAAATTGAGATAGTAACAAGATTACTAGGCATATCAGAATAATTGCAGCAAGACGATCCTAACTGTGATGACATCGATGAGGCAGTAAAGCGGATACGTCGATCACTGTCGTCGGACAGAACTGAACATCAAGTTCAGTACTTCGAGTGGGTACACTTACGAATGGGGCTGCCAGTGGAATTGACTTGAAGATCTTGCGCTCCATTTCAGTAAAAGCGGAATCACGGTAAAAAATGAAGGAGAAGTTGCTGAGAAGCTTTGGCGGCAAGAACGTGGTGCGTCTGCTGAGGTAAGAATGTTCTTGTTCTTGCAAATTTTGTTGTGTGCTTTTTGATAAGCGCTTATTACACTTCAGCGACTTGCCTTTTTTAGATGTTATAAGTGCGGCGTATTATGTTCCCTTTTCCCAGTTCCGCAGTAGCTAGCTTGAACCTATTTTGCGTGCACTTGGCTTCATTCGGACTGGTGTTCTTAGCTTTTTGCGCATATTTTCCATCGCTTTGAAGAAAAGTTGTTTGGAAGGTGCAGCATGCTTATCAGTATCAGTGTATTGTTGATAATATTGAGTTATTGTTATTTTAAGCTTTCCACCACTAAGTGGGTCTACAGAGCTCGAAGAAACACATTTCAGCTGAAAGCCTTGTTGACAAATGAAGAGAATGTTGTGGGATTCGGATGCGCTTATGAGAAGAGCTCTGCACTCTGCGTTTTCAACCTACGTACACATGCATCAGAGCTGGAGAAGAATCTTGCAACTTCGGAGGAACTTCCCGCACCTCCATCATAGTCGGGAACCGACGAATCAGCATAAGCCTCATATGGCAGAGTTCTGCATTTAAACTGTTATTCTTTTGCTTTTTTTTCAAGCAAGCTAGAAAATACGCAAAAGGAATAAAGCATTCGTCGGCAGCAGTTGATAGACCGTCGATAGCAGTCTTTTTAGCCAAACGTTGCGAGCAAGTCGCCTAACATACCGTAACATTTAGTGCTTGGATAATCAACTTGACATTGTAAAGCTACCATAGAAAAACAAAGTTGTGAATAAGAAGAGAATTTAAGGTTTAGTTTGGAAGCTGCCTAAGCGACGAAAGCAGCCGCCGCTAGGTTGTTTATGAATGCCCAGTAGCTAAAGCGATGGGGAGTCGAAATATCTTGCTGACGGATCATGCTAGCTTCATTTTCTAAGAGCATTAGAGTATTTTTTTTTCGAAAAAGTTCAAAATCATGGCACTGGCGGTCTCAGGATTTCCGTCGGGAGGGTGCGGGGCACTCATTTCGGAAACCTTTTTGGGTGCTTCTCAAATGCTTTGCGGGCCTGTGACCTCGAAAATTTGGCAGCAGCCACTCTTATGAAAAAAATTTTTGCAAAGCTAAACTGATTTTGAGAAGGTTAAGAAGTTATATAATTATTTACAAGTCAAAGAAGTCATTGGCTCATTTCCAGAGTAGGGCGTGGGGTCGGGCGCGCCCGGCCTATGGGGGGGAGGGGGGGGGGGAGGGGAGGGGGGGGATATCGGGGATAAGACTGAGGGAGGGGAGTCGTCATTAAGAATCAAATTTGTTTAGCTGGAAAGAAGTACGATTAAGGTGAAAAAGAAAAGCGTTAGTCCGGTGGATATCGCAGCCTCACCAATACTGAAGAAATGACGGTCGTAAACAGCATACCAATTGACTCCACGATCATAGTTACAGTCAAAATGCAAATCTTCATCTTTTATCTTGACATATCATAAGGTCACCAAGGAGGCTTGATGTGTGAAATGTGTATCATTTCCGTAATCAGCACATCAGATTACCTTTATGAGCTCTACAAACCATTACCTACTGCATTTTCTAATGCTCAACCAGGGCACGGCACAGGTGGCTTACGAAGCAAGCTGGATGTCGTTTTTGGGAAAAAGCAAAGGGGATATCGTTTTTGCGGAAGAGCAAAACGCTGTCTTTCGACCTGCCGCCAGCAAATAAACTGTTCACAGCGAAGGGAAGATGAAATGGCACCAAAATAGGTGTGTAGATGGGCAATGAGGAGTTGGGACCAATTATGAAAAATCATGAAAAAATTATGTGAAATGAAGGCGTGCTTAACTTTTTGCGAAGTTAAGTGGCTTTCAAGCCACCTGGAAGCCACCTGAGGTGGCTGGGGAAAGAAAATGTCATAAATTTTCCTTCCCTCAATAATTCTTCTACCTCCTTTACATAGATTTCATCTATATCCCAAACCCTACAAACTGGTGTCTAAACCGCCTCAAACCCCCTTCTCCCCGCTTAGTTATAGCCCCTTGAAGATTTTGAATGGCGGCGGAAAGGCTGCTCTGGGCGCGTATTGCTGCGCGCTGGATACATCATGCCGCCAATCCGGAGAATATGGATATTAACGCGTGTGTTTGATGTTTTTTTGACGCTTTTTTCTGTTTTGCTTTGTTCCGCTTTTTTTTCATGTATTTTCTCTTCTAATATCTCGTAGCGAATGTCGTAATTTCATTGTGAAGTCAAAGGGGACTTCGTTTTTTGCAATTTTGAGAAGCCACCTCGTGCCGAGCCCTGCTCTTAACGTTTGAAAACGAAGAGTAATGAAGAGCGATCGATTCGCTCTATTTTGAATCTAATTTAAAGCTTGCTCGCAAAATGGTACCTTAAGGTAGGTAAAAAAGTCCTTGAAAAGAGATATTAGCGGTCTAACAGTGTATACATACTTTTGGAACACCCTATATACCGCCACAATTTCAGCTCTGATACTGTCTCATTTTCGCCTCATACTCCACCTCGAATTCTGTCTTTGACTTCAGTAGTACTCACTCTTGCCAATCAACCTCAATGTTTGATTGTTAGCACCGTAATTAAAGTGAAAACTTGAGCTATGGTGATGGTGTGAAAGATCGGGATTGGGGTGCGCGGCAAGTGTTACCCAGGTAGCCGCCTGGTGTCGCGGCCAGCCGCCAGAGCTGGCATCAGCGTCGCGGCTGAGCTACCGTAGGTGCGCTCTCGTCGTCCGCAACCTCTCGCAGAAAGATTTTCGCAGCAGCCTCGCACCTCATCGCGCTGAGGTGCGAGAATTCCCTCAGACTCGCTACTGCCACATATTAAATATCGATCAAGACAGCAGAAAATTTGTGGTTTATTAGTAAGATACGCTACAAATAAAAACGAAAAAGTTAAATGAATAAAAAGCAACAAAATCACAAATAAAAGTCACAATAAAATTTACAGCTTAATTTTAACACTCGCACTGACTCAGACAATGGCGGGGAACAGGCGGTCCGCAAACTCGCGTTTTTCTGCAGGCGGTCAGCAGAATTTTGGGGCGTAGTCAAACCTTCAGCGAGCGGTACTTCGTTTATTGCCTAATGTTCTGCCAGCGGGCAGCAACACAAAATTTTCTGCAGGCGCTCGTTAAATAATCTCTTTCAGCGAGCGCTGGTCAAATTTTCAGCTGGCGCTTTGACGGTTTTGAAGCAGTTTCGGGCGTACGCCGAGCAAAGGTGGCAGAGGTGTCATCGATGGTTTAATTACTCAAGTTTGAGATACTTTCTCTTAGCGGAAAGTACCTGGGGGCTGCGCGGTCCTCCACAAAGGACTATGCGACCCCCGAAAATTTTGCATGTTCTCGCGGAAAGTCCGTGAGAATGCGGCCATTGCGCCGCAGCTAATCTCTAAGGAAACCGCGATTGTTCTCCAAGCATTCGTCTAAAATTTCGCTAAAATTCTTCTAAATATCTGCAAGCGGACCGCAAGAAATCAGCGAACTATTTTTCCGGTGCCCGCTTGCCCAAAAATCGCATGGCCGCCTGCCCCCGGCGATTATCTGAGGAGGTACCCATAGACAGAAATAAAGACAAAGCAAATCGTGTGGCTTACAAGGTTTTTTGGAGAGGATTTCTTTGTAGTCCAAAGAAAGTAGATGCCCACAAAATTAATTTTGCAAATCTCCTGCTTTTTGGAAAATCAAGACATTCGTTGAAATCGGACTAAAAGCGCTGATCAGAACGGCGTCCGTTAAATTCCATTACGATTCAAGCAGAGATAGAAAAATGACAATTATACACCGCCCACGCGATGTATGGCGGAGGTTTTGAAGTTCGTAAAAATTTTTCAAAATGAGTAAAAATGGAAAACTGACAAAAAATTTCAGGTCCCAAATTTTTTCCGCTAACTATTACGTAACAACAGCTTCCATAAATATTTCTGTGTTAAATTGTCGAAGTCACAGAGAAAATCATTTGATAGCGGTGCGAATGTAAAAACTAACTAAACTAATTTAATTGTGGTTTTAATTTGTGATTCTTTGTGTTTTTTATTTATCTAACTTTTTTTTCGTTTTTATATATTTTTCGTAATGTATCTTACTAATAAACTACAAGTTTTCTGCTGTCTTGATCAATATATAATATATGGCAGTAGCGCGACCTCTGAGGGAATTCTCGCACCTCAGCGCGATGAGGTGCGAGGTTGCTGCGAAAATTTCTTTGCGAAAGGTTGCGTACGACGAGAGCGCGCTTACGGTAGCTCAGCCGCTACGCTGGCCGCGGCGGCTGCCCGGATAACACTTGCACGCCTCCCTTGGGGGGGAGGGGGAGGGTGCGCGGAGAGTTTTTACAAACGCCGACCTCCACGCTCTTTTCGACGCTGCGGGGCACATCAAGTACCATGTTATCGCTCCGCAGGAAACAAAGTCCAGGAAGAAGGAAATGCGACAGATAACTGATGGGACACTCATCATTCGTAGTGAGAAGGTTCCATCAGAAACGTTGGAGGCGTTGGCTTTGCCGTCCGCCCATCTATCGTCTATCTTGTCGACTCGCATGAGATCCTATCCAGAGGTGCGATAGTCGGAGTCGATTCTCCGCCTACCTTCGCTTTTGAGCTGGTACAGGGTGACCACTTTCACTTTTGAGTTTTGATTTTTAAGTGAAAAAAAGGAAATTAAGCAAAACAAACGCAAAAAAAGTATTGAGAGCATTTCAGTAGATGTTGTTGCAGCTGAGCCAAGATTGTTACACAACCTTTACTAGGCTTACGTTTTGGCGTCTCCGCCTTCGTCAGAGCCTGTAAGGACGATGATATTTGTAATCTATCCCTCCAAATGCTCTATCTCCACCACATCGTACAACTCAATAGCCGACAGAGCCAGAAACAAACGAGAGGAGCAAAACAGTTAGCGCTTACCTTATAGCCTTGCAGTCAAGAAGGCGACCGCACACAGTGAAGCGCCGCTGCTATGATACTGATATATTCAAATCATTCCCCGCCTTGACCGGACCCCGACCCAGTAGGTCAAAACCCACAAAGGGTCTGGAATTTATTGAGAGCATATTCTATGTAGTTTATTTTTAGGAAGTCGCCGTCGCCCACTGCAAGCATCTGGAGGCCATCACCGACATGGACGCATATACGCCTCAGCACTTTTTACGATAGAGCAAAGCTTCATGATGACTTCGGGTAACTGAAGAGCTCTAACCCAACTTTCCTCTTTAGGGCCACAAATACGATGAGTACAACTGCATAAATGTTGTGTGCGTTGTTATACCAGATAGTGAAAGAATCAGTTTGATTTGAGGAGTGGCCGAGAACGAGAATTTTGAAAACTTACGCGATTTTAGGTTGCTTAATGACAGCTGACATTTGAACTCTTATAAATCCGGACTTTGAAGGTGTGTGTACTTGCGGCTTCATAGATTCTGTAGAGTAGGGTTTGCTCTATTAGAATATGTCTTAACAGTACCGATCCATTGAAACTTCGCCGAGATTTAGGCTCTTGAAAAGGTAAAAAACCGTTTTTCAGCTCATGAC